TCTGTATATATATGTATATATATATATATATGTACATTATACACATAGATATTATATGATATTCTATATCATATCGACTCGTTTTTTTCTCCGACAGAATTCTCATATCGGTTGTTCAAAGATGCTTGAAATGAAGATTGATATCTTCAGTTTTTCCTTACTTAGCCAGAATCGGATAGAATTTTGAGACCTGAATTGGCTTGGAACCCCTGATTCCACGATATTTCAAGGTAGAAAACCCCATGGTTTCAGACGATTTGCCCTTGAAAAATCCAGGATTTTTCTCGGCTCTCAGGCCCCATGGTGGAATGGCTGGCACCCGCATCAATCTCACCTTTCGCGTACGCGGCCACAGATGTGGGATCCACCCAAGCCAATGATTCATTCCCTGAAATATCCCAATTGATCATCAATAAAATTCAATAAATGGATGATTATGGTTGTGGTTTGGAACATTTTTTATTTTTCCATATATTGGGAATAATAATCCCAACTGACTAATATTTTTCAGAGGGGTTGAAACCACCAACCAGATGGGTTTGATAGTTATAAACCATCCCCAATTTATCATGATTTTTCTGGTATGTTTATGTGTGGCATTGGGTTTACGACATAAAATTTCGATGTTGGCCTCCGGTAAGCAAACCTAGCAACGGAAAATCCTGATCTATGGATTTTTGTTTTCTGATTTTACGTCTCAATCTATAGGAGATTTACTAGCTTGCCATGTTTGACTACCGAAGGGTACCATATTGTTTGGGGATGGACATCCAGAATTATTCAACCAAATACTGGCAGAGTTTGACCCAGCCAATCCCTCCACAGAATCAACTATATACCGTAGCTGGTGGTTTCAAACATGTTTCTCTTAATCTCATCATACATCATCATAGTGCATTCTTTTTTCTGGGTTGCTCCAACCTACTATGGGTAACTTTTAAAGCCACAAGCGGGGTACATGGCTCATCTATGGTCATTGCAGCTCTTGATTTGCCCAATTTCCATCAATTTCCCCCTCCTACTTGGGGTATTTTCTCGCAAAACTGTATATGTTCAATTATTTTCACATAGTTTTTCTTTCTGGTGCTTAGTAGGCTTAGTAGGGACAGGGAATGGGATGATTGTTAGAAGATGTTATAACATCTACCAGCATAACATCTTGTTTCACATAGACATCTGCCAGAGATTGGTGAATAACTTCCTCCACCGTTCGAAGTGGCTTTGTCTGAAAATAGGCTATATTCCCAATGAAATAGCCATTTTTTTTTGGATTTCCTGATCAGCAAAACCATTGGGTAAAAAGGGGTACATTATCCCTACTAAATGGCTATTTTCCCTACTAAATGGCTATTATCCCTACAAAACCATGATTTTCAGACACACCGTTCGAAGTTTTTCAGCAGCTCCACATCTACCAGGTCTGTAGACCTCGAGACTGAGTCGATCCGAGCTTCGGAGGTTTCTCGCGCTGATCTTGGTGGGAAACCTACCGATATAACATTCATAAATGCTTAGCGAACTACCTTTAAGATCCTTTAAGTAACTAGATTTTATCTATAAATTATATATAATACATCCAATAAAAATTTTGTTTGTAGTTTCCAAGATGCTATGGATGATGTGTCTAAAACCAGCCAGAGCGGCAACCTCGTGGCAAAGTTTGGGCCCGGCTTTTTCACACCTCGGTGGCCCCAGGGATGTGGGAATCGGTGTTGGAGAGAGAATCACCTTGGAGATTGCTATGGTTATCACCTTAGGTTATTACTATAGTCTACTATGATGATCGATGATGATTAGATATGGAAAGATGTCTGGAAAGGTTGAAGTGGAAAAGCCCACGATTCAAAGAGATCGTAATAGAGATCGTAATAGATCAAAAAAAACGCAAAAACACGCGTCCTGCCCAATGTTGGCAGTTCTCAACCTACCCGTGCCATGGATGCCACGGATGCCACGTGCAAAGATGTCGCGGCGGTGCCGAAACCGAGCGGCAACGCCGAGTCCCTTGGAAGGAGCGACTCGCTACAGGCGGTGCTCAGATGGCATGAGCAGGGACAAAAACGCTTGTCCATTGGACTGGAGCTGGAATGCTATTTGCCAGACCTAGGCATGGGATATGGAGAACATTTGGTCTGGGAAAAGTTCCCCAAATGGCCCAAATCCAATTGTTTAATATTGTTTATATCTGATCATCATGATCTTTCCCTATTGAAATAGCCATTTTGGCGGTGTAGTACCATGTTCAATCACACAAAAGTCGCATATGTGGAGATTTTCGGCCAAGTCTGAAGTTGAAGGGCCCCAGGTGTGGGAGGAGGCTTAACCTGTTAGTGTTGTACCATTCCTCCACATTTAGATAGTCATCATCGACCCAACATGACACAATAAAAATTTGGGCAAATTTGATCTTCCAAGTATTACTACTGAAACATCCAGATTGATCCAATAATGATCCAATATTCTCAATAACCCTTTAAAGCCTCTATTCTCCATGCCTTCCCCAATCAACTGGCGCTCCCCCATGACCGGTGGAACCACCAGGTGCCCTGATCGATCGGCTGCTACCGGTGGACGACGTCCAAGAGCTCTATGCCTTGGTGGCCAAGGAGCTGTCGAAGCGGGTGCTGCAAGACGAGCATCGATGCAGGTGGGGGATGCAAAAAGGGCGCTACCGTTGCCGTCGTGAGAATCACCAATGGATTTCAATGGGATACACATCTATACGTATAAAATATATTAGACGATATATTATACACTTTATATATATATACATATATATATATGTACACATGATTGAATGATATAATGGCGTCCTGATTTTTGTGTCGGTCTCAAACTCACATGGTTTTATTATGAAGCAAAAGTGCTGCTGACTTTTCGGATCAATCTTGGGATGTGATAAATCCAACCGTTGGAGGGTGGTTGGTTCAGATTTTCAGCAATGGGCTGGCGATGTTCGTGTCATTTTTTGTCATGATGAATAACCCTCTGGTTATTTCACATAGCTATGGAAAATTGTCCATTGATAGATGATTTATGATGATTTACCTGTTAAAAAATGTGATTTTCCATAGCTACGTTGAATAACCAGAGGGTAATCTTCAAATTTCAATTGATTGAGCCAAGACACGGTAGAACTCGGTAGAACATGTAGAACAGGAAAACCGCGACCAACATTCTTAGTATTGACCATCCACATTGACATGTTTTGTGTGTTCCCCGTTTTGAAGTTTGTCCTTGAATGCTCCTGTTTCTTTGGTATTCTTCCATGAATTCCTGAGGTTTTCCCCAAGCTCCAATCAACAACCATCTACAAAAACATCTCAACGCCATCTTAATCCCATCTCAAAACAATCTAAAAATCATATATCACCACTAATACAACATCCAAACACCACTCAAAAACCATTGAAATTCATATAAAACACAAAAAAACCTAATAAACACCATAAACCCACGGCTTTTTCCCATATTTTTTTGCACCCAAAAAACAGCCCAGGACTTCGAGGTGCGTTTCGGCGGACGCCTGCGACTGGGGGAGGCTCTGGACCGCCACGGCCGACGGATCCATTCAGCCGGAGGGGAAGAATCCCTTCCCCGTAGAGCTGGTGTCCAAACGGATCCCTGACATTTTGGTGAATTTTCAGGGAATTTTGAGAAAATTCATGGGAACACATATCAATGGGATATATGATGATTAATAATAATAATATAACATCCATCAAATTTCAAATTTCATGATATATGTATATATATATATGGGAAACTATGGGAAGATCCATCACATTTAGAATGGGATAATTATTAATTATTGTAAAATCCATCCCATTTTATTGATGGGATATATGTATATATATATATATATATGTGGGATGTAAATACCATGACTTTGGATCCCGAAAATTCAATCTGAAGTGAATGGTTTATCGATCGTCAATGGGTGTTTAATGGGAAATTGATGGGATTTAATGGGATATACAATCAATAATATCTGATTTTGGGTGTGTCTGAAAATAGGGTTATACCCCCCAGTCATGCCAATTTCATGGCTAAGCATTTTGAGATGATCTTTGGAGGTAATTACTTCGAAAGTTTCATCGTGAAGTCTTTAAAACATTGGATAGCAGTACTGCTAGGTGTCGGATACAGTATCGTATAACAGATATTCCATTGTTCCTTTTTTTTCCGTTTCTGTTCCATAAAATTTTCCATATGTTTCCATATGGTCGACATCATTTTACAATTTTTTTTCCACCCAGCATGCCATTTTTTGCAGGATGAGTTTCGATGACTTGGACGTGACCTTGTTCTGTGACATGACCTCTGCCTTGCGCCTGGCACCGTTGCGCGCCGCGACCAATGAATCCACGGGTTTGCACGTGCACATTGGAAGATATCCAGGCTTCTTCTCGGTGGAAGAGGTGGCAGCCATTCTCAAGGTGGCGGTTTCTTTTTGGTTTGGAAGATGTGGGAATTTGGGGTGAAACATGGGGGAAAGTAGCAGTACCATTGATAACTATGTATAATTAATGATAATTTAGAAATGGTTCTTTACCATTCTTATCAATTAAAGTACCGTTTATAAAGTACCATTAATCACTGATGGATACTAATGGAGATTAATTGAATATAGATTTTGATAATGCCCCCAACGTTCGAATAATGGGCATATTATGATGGGGAAGATGGTGGTGAACCTGATCAAGTAAAGGATCTAGCAGAGTAAGACTATGTAAGAAGTGGAGTCCAATGCTTGGGAAAAAAACTCTGGATCTCAACCATAGGAACAAGTTTTTTTTTTGCACACGGCCAGAGTGTGCCAAACTTGGATCCCCAGGACTTGGTTTTATTTTTCTCTGAGTTTGACCTAGTCACAACATGCCGGGAGAAATGATGCACTTCTTGCAAGAATCAAGTTTCATCCAGCCAAAAATCCCAAAGTGCCAGATCCCCCAGATCGACTTAAACAAACCTTCCCCCAAAAAATCCCATCAAACAATGATTCCCCCCAAAATCCCCAGCAAAATCCTCAGGTCCCATGTCCATCCCAGGTCTATCTCCGTTTCGAATCGGCCATCAATACCTTGCTGCTGCCGGTGACGCGGCAGCGCAACCGCTTCTGCCGCGACTTCCGCGAGGTCTTGGCGCGTGCCCAGGGCCTGGAAGGTGATGAGGAGAAGCTGCTGGCGACCATTGATGCGGCGGTGAAGGGGATCCAAAAGATGAGTCCTAAGGTGGGGGTCGTGAGGATTTCATGGGAAGTTCATGGGGATTTGGATTTCACATATATTCTCAGCGACAGAATATGATACATGTCATAGTGTTTACCCGTAAGAATATTGTCGCATTGTGACATAGAATGGCAAACATGTTCACCTTTATCGAAGGATGACTTTGGTGACACTTAGCTGATACTTGGTGGTTGATTTCAATTAAGTAGCTTTGACCATTTTCGATCTTGGTCGGTGGCAACATATCGCCTGAAATCATCAATATATCCCGGCATATCCCTTGCACTGGCCAAGATAACTCAAGTTCAGCAGAAAGAGAGAGAGAGAGAGAGAGAGGGGAGAGTATGATTTAATATGACTTCATGCTATGGAAGACGACTTGAATGTTTTTTTTGCTAACATATACGAATTGAGTGGGTTCCCCTCATCCTTTTTTGGTTGCGAAACTCTTTGGATCACATCAGAGGTGCGATCTGCTTGTGTGGATGGATGTGTAGCCTCCGTGAGCAAAGGGGATTTGATGACAGCACTGCTTGGGGAAGGTGGACTGTGGAGGCTGAAAAGCCCCATCGAAACCCTGGATTTGGAGGCAGATGGGCGTCCCATGCTGTTGCCAGCTGGACTCTTGCTTGGTATTACTCCAGATTTTCTGTGACATTTACTATGATGTGAATATATGTGAATATTCGGTTCAGCTTTCACTTGACTTTTTTTTGACCTTTTACATACATCCTTTATCTCGAGTTTCAGGCATTTTAAGATGAATTCATCGATGATTTTGTGGGCATAGCGTTTGTTTTTTTCCCAAACATGTCTTCTAGTTTCACTCATGGCGCCCAATTCTTGCGATCAGGACTGACTCTGAAAGAGATGTCCTGCAACGGCAAACGCCTATGGAGCCCGCCCACGGCGCAGGAATTGCAAGCTCTCTGGGGGAAAGATGGTGGAGGGGATGCACCTGGACAGCTGGCTGACCCACCAACACCCTGGACAGTGATGGAGGAGTTCAGTGAGAAAGACTACTTGCAGTGTCTCTTTCAGAAGCCAGACGAGGTCGGCTGGGCTTCAAGTTGGTTGTTTTGGGACTGGTTGTTTTGGGGATGAACTTTTTGAAGTGCCACACTGCCAACGATCTGCAACGGACGAAAAGCTCAGAACTGCGAAAAAGCATGAGTTGGCAAGATGTGAACGACCAGGCTTCTGTTTTTTTTGACTCACACTATGAAGATAAGCTGGTAACTGGCTGGTGGTCAGGTGTCGGCAGCTTCTGTGGATCACTGGCTGCTCAGAGATTCCTTGATCTTGGAGAGACACGGAATGCGCGACTTGTCGACGTCTGCTTTTCTTCACGCGTTGTTCGTTTTTTAAATGGGAATCTCATCCCAAACATTGTTTCATGCATATTCATGTACCATCTGGCTATTTAACATAGCTATGGAAAATCTATTATTAAATGGAGGTTTTAACGGGAAACTTATCTATAAATGGTATATGTTCTTCATAGATGGATGGATTGCGCAATATTCAAATCGTGCTGTGTACTAGTCATAGTCCTCGTGCACGGCATGGTTTTTGGGCGAGAGACGGCAACGCCGGGTTTGGTGGGGAAACCTTGGTTTGATAGGTAAATCATCATGTTTATCATCCACAAACAGGCAATTTCCATAGCAAAGTGTTAAACAACCAGAGGGTATCCATCAATACGGAAAGACTATATCCAGCTGTAGAGACACGTTTTTTGTTGAGAACTCTAAGGGGTCAATGTCCTAATTCAACATCACCCAACTATTGGGGATATCATTTCCAACAAATACTTGAAGGTGACGTTCAAAATCCCCCAAAATTGACACATATTTGCCAGTTGCCAAGATTAGCCACATGTGGATATATAATCGTTGATGATTCAACGGATGGGTTTAAGGGACCATTTTACAGAGGAAAATCCCTACGTTTCATGAGAAAAAAACATGGCTTCCGGTTAAGATATTCCCACCAATCCATTGAATGATGCATCTATTTTTCCCCTGGCAGGCTACTGCAAGTTAAATATCATGCGCATCTGCCAGCCCAGCGATCGCGCCACCCTGGAGTTTCGGCAGTTTCCGGGTGGCGACTTCAATCAGCCGCTGCTGATTTGGGGCTGGGTGAAATTTTTGGGCTTGTTGGTGACTCATGCCTGTGCATGTGCAGATGGAGTGTCGCCCTTCCCAGCCGAAGGGTCAGAAGAGGAAGGGGGTTGAGAGATGTTGAGAGGGGGTTGGGGGTCAAAAATCGTTGGTTGTGTTGGTTTGATATCAAGAGAGAAGAGCTCCTTCATTCATGTCTTTTTGTGTCACCCTACATGGAGTAAAGGCTCTAACTTTAATAGCTCTTGATGGAAAGAACATGGGGCGTAAGCCACCAATATGGCCCTCAACCCCGCATAGGAGCTGAAACGCTTCTTGCGACTACGATCTGATAGTCTACTTTTGGCTTGGTTTCGAGATGTGCGGAACCGGCTCCCCAAACCCGAAGTGGCGGTGTTGAACATGAAACAACGCTGGGAAAAACACTGGGAACAATGGGCCAGAGAGGCCCAAGAGATTCGATCGCAATTCCAGCCACCTTTTTCCAAGTTGCTCTCAGCGTGCAAATCCTGGCGCCGGATCTTTCAGGCTGCTTCCGGCATGAAAGCCATGTTTCCATCCACGGATCCTGTGTGGACTCCCTTGACGCAACGGCGTGTGGCCTGCGAAAGTTTCATGCAAGAACTCTACAAGGCCATCAGTTCCAGGTTGAAACATCACATCCAACTGCTGATCGCGGCCGAAGAAATCAGTCGAAGATGTTCGTTGGAGACCCTGGTGCACTCCGTGTTGAGCGATGGACGCTTGCGACGCAGCAACCTGGTGATCCGCGAGCTCCAAGCGGCCGTGGCTGAGACCATGGGCTGGGAGAATTGTCCCGAAGAGCTGAGGATCTCGGTGGGTGAGCTCGGCCGAAAGGGTGGCTCGGTGCACTCGGTGACCATCCGACCTTGGTCACTGACCCAATTGGATCCGGGAAGTGGATGGGGGTAACTACAGTGATGATCCAAGCACTCCAGTTTATGAACTGTTGGTAATTAATCTAGAAATTCGGTATGGAGAATCTGATTAGAAATATGGCAGGCTTGGAAATCGCCTTTGTTTTGTATAGGGGAACATCATTAAAATAGTCATGATTGATATTGGCTTGTATCATCTTATATCCTGCCAGGATTGGCAGGGATTATGATGACAAAATTGACATTTTTCGACATGTTTCATCATCATTCAGCGTTTGGCAAATTTCTCAATTTTGGTCCATTGAGGGGATCTTGGACACTTCCATGATCCCCCCAAGTGGACCTGGGGGACCTTATTAGATATCCATGTGGCAGTGGCAGTGGCAATCCCCCAGGGGCTGAGCTCACCTTGGACTATGCTCGCAACCTCTTGGATCACTGCGAACGGCCGCAGAGATGCGCCGCGCTGGCAGATGCGCCGACGGCGGAGACGGTGGAGATGGAGCCTGGGCCGGCGATGGAAGGATTGCTGCTGTGGCGGACCTATCACGAGCTGTGTCCTCTGGCAGAGTTCAGCTATACTGATTATAGTCTATTAATTGTCTATTATATATAGTCTATTATAGTGTATGATAGTGTATGTATTACCGTAGTATTCAGCTTTTGTCATTGTTTTGAAGGTGTCGTTTTGTTTTGATTTGTTGGAGATCCCGCCTGTTTTGATTCACTGGGACGGAAACCTGGCTTCACAGGTGTGCCTGGGTTCCGCGATGTCTCTGCTAAGTCTTACAGAACCCCCTATCGAACCAGCAACGTTGCGGTTCCTGCAATGATGTGCCTCTACATCTCAATGAAAAACCTAACTCCAATCAACTCCTAGTTACCTCATACCTCCTACCGATACAACATGCCACAACCATTTATACCCTAGGGTACGCTAATATAGATGTGGAACATCACCCATTTGTAGAATATTTTCCTGGGTAAACCATAGGTTTTCCACATCTATGTTAGTTTAGCCTAGGGTATATACGTATATATATATATAATTATATATTATATAATATAGTTACCTTTGCAGAAATCATGGGAATATAATGGAAAGAGAATTAATGGATATTAATTGGATATGAACAACATCCATTTTACGCCGTTATCGAACAATTATGGGCAAACCCCATTCTATCTACTGATTGATCCTTATGCTCCCTATTTTCATACAAAAGGTTCAAGTCATAGTTGCTGGCGGGTCCACAGGTCGCCTGGCCTTTTTCTTTGTTTTGGGGGGTGGGGGAGGTTTGGGGGGGGGGGGGGGGGGGGGGGGCGTAATAACGTTCCTTTTGCTGCGTTCGCTTGGACTTTTTTTTTGTTACCTATTTTTATGTTACGCTTGCAGGCTTGCCGCATCATCTGCTGCACGCAACACGTCGTGCTACGCTTTTGGTCGCAAGTGTTATGTTACGCTTGCACGCTGCCGCATCATCTTGCACGCAAGACGTCATGCTACGCTTGCACGCTGCTGCATCATCTTTACGCAACACGTCGTGCTACGCTGTTGCTGGGGGGGGTGGGTGGGGTTGGGGGGGGTGGGCGTAATAACGTTCCTTTTGCTGCGTTCGCTTGGACTTTTTTTTTGTTACCTATTTTTATGTTACGCTTGCAGGCTGCCGCATCATCTTTACGCAACACGGCGTGCTTTCCAAGAAAGCTGGAACACAAGTCATTGACAGAAAGTGGAAGGCATTGAAAGACTTTTTGCCAAGCAACTACCACCGAAAGATCAATGGCCCACATGGCAGCCAAGTCAACCCTCGGATGAGACAGCGTGTCTTTCAGTTTTGCTGGCGCAATTCGCTGAAATGGCCGAGCCCAGCACAGTTCTTAAAACAACTGGCAAAGTTGCAAGGAAAAAAATTGTAGCGGCGTTAGTTTTCAGGATGGTGAAAACTTGCCACCTTTGCCTGACGTCTGATTTCCAATGGGCAAAATACCTAAATGATGGTTTCGTAACCAGGCGACTCATGGACCCGTGACCTCATAGTTATAACAACTATAAACCCATCTAACTGTTGAACTGTAGTGATTACTACTTTAAACGCAAGCTAACCATATTTATCATCATTCATCCAGATCCATGTCCATCCATGTTGTATTTCAAAGGCCCCTTGGTCTTGAGGTGCTTGGCTGTTGCTGCCACGAGTCGACGAAGTGGTCCCGCTCTGGGCCGGTCTGGCGCGCCGCGGTTGGGACTCAGAGCGTGTCCGTTGTCTCTGGTCTCGGCTGTGGGGAGATGCCACGACTCGGGCCATAGCGTCCAGTTGGTTTGCGGCAAAAGTGGTGGCGGGTGATGACAATGTCTATATATATATATCTATATGGTACCCGTATCTAAATGTTATGATATCAAAATAAATTACATGATATTACATATATCTTTTTTGTCACTTTGCTGTTACTGCACGAGTCGTGCTTGGTCTTTGCCGCCGTGCAAAGTTCACCCATGAAAGTCAGGCTGTACGATATCCTGACCCATGAGTTCCGTGCTATTTAATTCGGCCAATTGCGCCGCCAGCTGATGTGATCCTGTAAGATTGCGATCAGCCAAAAAGCGACCTACGGCAATGGCCAGTGCATTGTTCATTTGCGGCGGGTAAATCTTCGCCCTCGCCGTCTGAAAATGTCCTTCTACAGTGCGACCACGCAGGGGCTTGTGCCCGCCTTCATGAGAGCACCGACCACGGCGACCACGACCATGCACAATGCTGACAAAATCTGGGAGGCGAACAAGCAACAGAGTTGTCGGTTTTTGCGCAGGAAGGTCGAAAATGCATTGGTCGAAGGTGAGGATGGTACTGCACTGCAGCTTCGCCATACACCGGAATGCCCGCAATGTCCAAACCGAAGCAGGCCTTTGTCGAACCAACCACGTAGCAAATGCCGGGTGCTCGAGGAAGCCGCAAAGCCCTCGAATAGCCACAAGGGTCAAAAGCTCAAGTAAAAACTGCACAAGTGCAGTGCCCACCGAAACCTGGTGGGACTCGGCTTTTGTAAGGCCCGGCTTTCCCCAAGGATGGTCGAAACCTCGGACCGGTCGTGGTCCTCCAGGCGTATGGCGAGCAGCCGACCACGTCTCGCAACTGGGCCCTCCTCCGCAGCCTAGGATCTGACCAGAGTGAATCTGATCCTTCCAGAACTGACATGTGGCAGGGTCAGTAAGGTCCGACCGCTTCTTCATGAGACAGAGGTCCACTGAAAGGCAATAGAGGGTGGCACCCTCCAAAGTGTGCTGAGCTTCGATGCAATGTTGCAAATCGCCGGCTCTACGAAATCCGCTATAAAAATGCACAAACAAATAGCATTTGATATGCAATCTAGCGGTTTCCGCCGCCAGTCCGAAGATTTGGAAAGTGCCGGCTTTTCCTGGGTCACGCCCGGCTGGCGTGTGTCCTAGGAAAGGGAGCACAACGTCTTCCTGATCTTACAAAACTGCTGGCGTGGTGCAATAACCCTCCAGAAAATGAAAAGCACCACCCGGGTCGGCAGTTCTAGCACTCCAGCGCTGCTGCATCAACGCTGCCTCAGGAGTGTCAGCTGCGGGCAGGCACGGCATGGGAATCCGAAGGACTGGCAAAAACGCCTTCGTGGCACGCCATCCCTGCTGCTTCTGTAAACGTGCATATTCCAAATCTTCTGCAGCAAGGCTGGCAACAATGTCTTCAGCCGCAGGCACAAAACAGCTGAAAAATGCATTTCGGCATCGGGGGACCGCTGTGACATGAGCAAGAGCCCGGCTGCGTTGAAAGAACTTCTTACCACATGCAAAACACTCATCGGACAGCACATAGTACTTCAGGACCTTAGTGTATCCATGTTTGTGACGGGCATGAATGGCAAGCCCTCGCTTGGTCTCAAATGCCTCCTCACAAAGGGCACACTGCCACTGGGTCTGAGCGTCAGCATCGGGGATCAATTGGTTCTCAGCAAACATCTGCAGTGATCTCTCAATCTTTAGCGTCCAAAGCTTGCCCTGAGCTGCAGCCTTACGGTGTCTGGAGGCTGATTGCAACACCTTGTTAACTTTACCGTTCCAGCGATCATCCAAGGCAACAACTTGCAAACAGGCCCAAACATCCTGTACAGGCAAAGCAAACTTCCCCGCAAAATGAATTTGAAACCACTCGAAAGATTGCTGCAGCATCGAAAGCCAGGCTTGGGAACCATGTGTCGCATTCAACAACTGCCACAGCAGCTGCGGTGCGTGTGTAATGGCTCTTTTAACATACCTCAGGCGGTTTGCATGAAGAAGATCTGTCGGGCAGGTCAGCCCAAGCAACGCACACAATTCACCTACGGCAAATGCAAAAGCAGGAAGGGGTCGAATGAGAGGAGCAGCCAACTTGGAAACCGCATCTTTCAAGCCATTTTCCCATCGGCACAACTCAGCTTCAGTAAGCCAAGCCCATGTGTGGGCGTTGTATGCATGGCGAGAGCCTACCAGTGCACTAAAGACGGCAGTCTTGGTCTGCAACGCAACATTCCTTTTGCAATAAAAGGGCCGTGAGAGCTGACCAAATGCCTTCTTGGCCTGCGCCACACGGTACGAGACTTCTTTGTGCACTACAGCTTGGCATTGAAGAAAGGAGCCAAGATGTTTGTAAGCATGAACAAGTCGTAATGATTGCGTTCCCTGCTCAGTGACGACGGGCAGAGATCCTTTCAAATCATGCCACAGTTGACGTCGCACTCCACGTGAGCCTTCACCAGCACAGAAAATCATGGCTTCTGTTTTCCCAACCTCATAGTTGAGCTTCATACCTCTAGCTGTGGCAGCATCGTGCAAACATGACGCAACCAGCTGCAGAGACGAAACCACCCGACTCGCGGTGGGAGCGTGCAGAGCATACGCAATGTCATCCACAAATGTGATTTCTGTGAAACCAGCGGCAGGCATAGACGATGGCGCAACAAGATTTGAGGCCGTCTGTGGATTGCCTAAGAAGGTGAGAGAGGACGCATGTTGAAACTTTGCGCGGGCATCCAAGACAATAAGACGAAAAGCCATATTGAAGAGCACATCTGCTACTGGATCACCGGGCCTCGTCCCTCTAAATGTGGCAACTGGCCGGTCAACGCCAGGCATGACAAAATGGGTTCCTGCAAACATGTCTGCCAAAACTCCTTTGTGATAGGTAGTAAGGCCTGCAGCCGCATTGTCTTTTTGAACTGTCCCGAGGACGTTGTGCCAGTCCTGCGGTGTGATTCCAAGGCGCTGCATGGCCTGACACAAAAGATCATCATGCACCTGCTCTTCTAGAAGCAAGGATCTGATCACCGTGTAAAAAGCAGCATGCAAGTCAACAAACAACATTGCACATGATGTTGAAGTAGAACGTGCCCATGCAAAGTATGAGTGAAGAAGGTGATGCGCAATGTCGGTGGAACACCCTTTTCGGCCACCTTGCTGGATCAAATCGTCATGTGAGGTCCACTCCCGGACCAGGGCCTGTCTGACATGGGCATGATGAATTTTACCACACACATCAGAGATAAAGATCGAGCGGTAGCCTTGCGCATTTTGTGGGGATCCTTTCCCTTTAAACAAAGGAGTAAGTAATCCTCCTTTCCAGGACAATGGCTCATGCAAGTGCCAAGCGGCTCTTGTCATCAGCAGCAGGAGGGTCTGAGCAAGGGTGAAACCTCCTGCTTTCAACACGTCGATGGGAAGCCTACCAGGGCCTGGGACTTTCCCACTACGCATGCGCCGAATGGCAGCAAGGATATCATGAGCAGACATGAGAGAGTCAGGATCTGCCGTAACACCTGTGGCCCCAGAGCCATGAAGCTGTGCTAGCTGAACCGGGTCAACCGAAATGCCAGCTTCAAGGGTTCCAAATTGTTCACACCAAATCTGTTGACACTCTTCATATGATTGTGCTGGGCATCCATTGGAGGCCAACAATTTGGGCAAAGGACGGGGACCCGAGTCCAGAGTCCGGCGCCGCCTACCAAGGCGTTGCAATTTTTTGTAAACTTGAGCAGAATCAAAGCGGCTGGCGGCTGCATCAATGTCATCCAACCATGCAGCATACCAACTCTTCTGGTCATGCAAAACCATGGGTCGGAGTACGCGTTCAAGGGCCTTGAGCTCTTGTAGGAGAAGAGGGTCCTTACTCATGCCTTCAGTGCGAAGCATGTTAAGGGCTTGTCGCTTCAGGCTGATGCCAGTTCTCGTAAGCTCTGAGAGTACAGGCCGATTGCGAGTCTTCGGGGGCGTACCAAAATGCTGTTGAGCTAACTGCACAAGATTGGTTTCAAGCATCTTGGAGTGTGCATCCACATCAGTAATCCATGTAGGCATGGGCAATGTACGAAGAGCTTGCTCAAAAGCTGCCCGTGCTTGTGGACTGGCCATCTTGGCATAGTCCCATCGCAGTTTTTCAGCAGGCGGTGCTATGGCAAGAAATCCCTGAAAGGACAACAAAGCAGGGACATGATCCTGGTGGCCAAACCCACTGTCAAAGTCAGAAAGCACACTAGACTTTTCGACAAGCGCAAACATAGGCTCGTTGACCACAACGTAATCTCTTCGAAGCAAATGCCCTGCAGGATGTCGCCATGTGGCACTGGTACCACTGTGCCACGTGAACGTGGCAGGAACGAACAATTCCTGCGAAGTCAAAAACTCCTGAAATGCTTGGCCGGGCCTGTTGAGTGGCTCAGCATGGTGCTGGCCGAAGAATCGGGTCTCAGTGTCAGCAAGTGGCGCATTAGCATCAAATGCACAAACCAGGAGGGCATTAGATGGCACGGCAGAAATAATATTACCGAGTGCAGTCCACCAACCGACAATTTGATCAATTGGCCGATCGGGAGTAAGGCAAGGGGCGTGGGCCACCAAGACATACAGTTCGAAAGGACCTTGCAACCGGGCCATCAGCCATCTCGGATCAGATGCTACAATTGTCACCTTGAAGTCAGAGAAGGTTATCCTACGACCTGTTGCATCATATGCAAAAGGAAGAGTCTTGTGAAACCACAACTCACAACCGTGATGCTTGGATCTTCCACACTGGGCAAAGCCGGACGAGAAAATGTCATAGTGGTCAGTGGTTCTCCTTCCTTCTCTTGTGCGCGTTTCCTGCATGCCAACAATGGCGCATTCATGTGAGTGAAATTGCAGGTCAACCCTGATGGTACGTGGTCCTGGAAGCCTGATGGCCTTGTCACTTTCATCAAGGGCAAGTGCGTTAAATGTAGCAACCTGGAAAACGACCTGTGTGGTACTTGGCATAAGCTGAGGCGTCTTGATTTGAATAGGAATAAAATGCGCAGACTGCGGCGGCTGCCAAATCGCTCCCTCATGCAAATGTGGCAAGGCCGCCTTGAAAGAGTCAGGAGCATGTGGAAGCCAT